GAAAGAATGGTAAAGACATTCCCAGACAAACATAAAACAAAGCTGTGGTAATTTAATCACTACTAGACCTATCTTACAAGAAATGCTAAAGGGTGTCCTTCAAGTTGAACCAAAGGACTTTAACAGCAACATGAAAGCACATGAAAATATAAAGCTGACTGGTAAAGGTAAATATATAGGCAAAGGCAGAATACTTTCATTCTGTAATAATAGTGCATAAATCACTGTTTATGCTGGTAGAAAAGTTAAAAGACAAAAGTACCAATATAAATATAAAATTATGTTATTGTATACACATTATAAAAATATGAAATTTGTGACATCAATTCATAAAATGTGTTAGAGAAATAAACTGTTGCAGTTTAAGTTAAGCTGTTATCAACATAAAATAGATTCTTGTAACTACGTTTTATGTAAACCACATGGTAATCATAAAGAAAATACTTACAGAAGGTACAAGACAGAAAAAAAGAAAGAAATGAAAACATGCCACTATGAAGAATCAATGAAGCACAAAGGAGGATAGACAGGAGAAGAGAGACAAAAAACCTACAAGACAGATGAAAAACAATGAACAAAATGACAATAGTAAGTCCATCCCTAGCAACCATAACTTTAAATATAGTAGATTAAACTCCCCAATCAAAATACATAGAGTGATTAAATGGATAGTAAAAAGACCCAACTATACACTATTTATAAGAGACTCACTTTAGTTTTAAATACACACATAGGCTGAAAGTGAAATGATGAAGTAAAATATTTCAGGCAACTGATAAGCAAAAGGGAACAGGGGTGGCCATACTTATATCAGATAAAATAGCCTTAAATAAGAAATTGACAACAGAGACAAATCAGAATGTCATATATTAAAAGAATTAATTTACCAAGAAGATATAATAATTTAAATTTATATGCACCCAATATTAGAGCATCAAGAATGAATCATGAAGAAATAGAAAATCTGAACAGAACTATAACTGGTAAGGGGATTGAATTAATAATCAAAAACCTAACAAAGAAGAGCCCAGGTCCAGATATTTACTGGTAAATTCTAGTGAACATTTATAGAAGAATTAATGTTAATCTTTCTCAAACTCTCCCAAAAATCCACAGAGCAGGGAACATTTTCAAACTCACTGTGTGAATCTAATATTAATCCTGATACCAAAACCAAAGACTCTCCAAGAAAAGTAAACTACAAGCCAGTATCCCTAATGAACATAGATCAAAAATCTTCAACAAAATATTAGCAAACCAAATGTAACAGCACATTGAAAGGATCCTACACCATTACCAAGTGGCATTTACTCCTGAGATGCAAGGATGATACAACATATACAAATTAATCAATGTCATACACCACATTAACAAAATAAAGGATAAAAATTACATGTTTATTTGAATAGATGCAGAAATGTACTTATCAAAATTCAACACTCTTTCATAAAAAATGCAACAAATTAGGAATAGAAGAAAATTACCTCAACATAATAAAGGCTATATATTAATATAAAAAGCCCACAGCTGAAGGGAATCATGAAAGCATGGCAATGGTTCTAAAGAAAGAGCCAGAAATAAAGGGAACATGAGCTTAAAAACATGAAAAAAAAAAAAAAAAGCCCACAGCTAACATTATATTCAGTGGTGAAAAACTGAAAGGTTTTCCTCTAAGAATAGGATGCCCACTCTTGCTGCTTCTATTCAACATAGCATTGGAAGTTCTAGCCAGACCTATAATGCAATAAAAAGATATAAAAAGCGTGTAAATCAGAAAGGAAGTAGTAAAATTACTTCTGCTTACAGATGACATCATATTATACATAGAAAACGCTAAAGTTTCCACATACAGAAAAGGTTAGAACTAATGAACTAATTTGGTAAAGTTGCACAATAGAAAATCAGCATACAAAAATCACTAAAAATGAATAAACTGAAAAGGAAATTAAGAAAATCCTATTTACAATAGAAACAAAAAGAATAAAATAAGAATAAATGTAATCAAAGAAGCAAAATATTTTTACACCAAAAACTTTAATCCATTGATGAAACAAATTAATAAAGACAAAAACAAGTGAAAAGACGTCCAGTACTCATGGATTGAAAGATTTAATATTGTTAATATATCCATAGTTCTAAAGCAATCTGCATATTCAATGCAATTCCTATCAAAATCCCAATGGCTTTATTTTTTACAGAAATAGGAAAAAGATATGGAGTCACATAAGAACCCAAATAGCCAAAACAAAGAATAAAGCTGGAGTTGCCACACTTCCTGATTTTAAAACATATTATAAAGGTATAATAACTTTAAAAGTATAGTATGAGCATATAGACACACATACAGGCCAATGAAACAGGTTAGAGAGCCCAGCAGTAAACCCATGCATATATGGTCAACTGATCTTTGACAAGGGTGCCAAGAATACACAATGGGGAATGAATAGTCTCTTTAGTAAATATTTTTGGGAAAACTGGATGGCCACAAGTGTTAGAATGAAATTGGACCCTTGTACACCATACACAAAAAAGGAACTCAGAATGGATTAATAACTTAAATGTAAAATTTTAAACTGTGATACTCCTAGAAGAAATCATATGGAAAAATCTTCAGGACATTTTTAGTAAAGGACAGTTTTAGTAATAGTTTCTTGGATATGATACGAAAAGCACAAGTAAAAAAAGCAAATATTGACAAGTGGTAACATATCAAACTAAAAAGTTACATAACAGCAACAAACAAAAAACAAGAGTGAAAAAGCAACCTATGGAATCAGAAAACATATTTCCAAATTACATATCTGATGAGGGGTTAATATGTAAAGAACTCATACAACTCAATAGCAGAAAACCAAATGAATAGATTTCCAAATGGGGAAAAGACTTAAATAGGCATTTCTCTAAAAAGACATATAATACAAATGGCCAACAAGTATGTGAAAAGATGCTCAACATCAGTTATCATCTGGAAAATGTAAATCAAAACCACAATAAGATATCACTTCACACCTGTTAGGATAGCAATTATAAAAAAGTTCTAAAGTTAAAAAGGCAAGGAATTGGAGAAATTAGAACTCTTGTGCACTATCGATGAGAATGTAAAATGGAACAGCCGCAACGGAAAACAATATAGAACTTCCTCAAAAAATTAAAAATAGAATTATTCATATGATCTGGTAATCCCACTTCTGGGTATTTATCCAAAGGTATAAAAATCAGTATCTCTAAGAGATATCTGCACACTCCTGTTCAATGCAACATTATTTACATTAGCCAAGATGTGCAAGCACCCAAATGTCCAGCTACAGACGAATGGATGTGGCAGGAGCTGAGGATGGCAAAATAACATGAGGGAAGGGGCCTGGATCACTGTGTCTCCCCCAGAGCTCTGTCACTCTGTCACTCCATTCACGACTCTTGGACTGAATGGCGACACATTGGAGCCACAGAAAATCCTTGGAAGTGTAAGACCCTGCCTGTTCCAGTCAATTTCTCTCCAATTCTTATGCTTGAAATTTAGGTGGTCTTGGTTAACACTTTTGGGGAGGCCCTTCACTCCTGTGGCCCTGTGTGCCAGCACTGACCAAACACAAGGAGAGAGGGACCCCAGAGGAGGCTGGTCCCTGGGCCATGAGCTCCCCCAAGACACTTTCCATCTCCCCCAAGACACTACATAAGCAATGTCACTTTCTATTTGTGGAGCAAAGTGAGGGCCACGGTTTGCTAGCTCATGGGTGGCCTCTTTCCCCCACTCCAACAGATGCCCCCCCCTGGCTGGCTGGCACTCATTTGTGTTAGTGACGGAACAATCCGTAGGGCCTCCTGAGGTCAGTTGGGACCCACAGGCCACTGGCAAGCGGAGGCAGAGGTGCGGAGCCCTTGAAGGGCCTGCTGTCTGCACCTGAAATGTCTCCGCAGCTACTCTTGACCAGCTGTGGGCTGTTCTGATGATGATGTTCAAAAGCCTGGAGCAAGAGCAGGAGCCCTGCAGTTCTCCTGGCAGGTCCTGTGTGCACTGCTCTGGTGGCCTTTCTAGTGAGGAGAGGCGTCTCAGGAAGATGAGGGGAAGAGCCGGCCAGAAGGGGTCAGCCTGCGGGAAGGTGGACCCAAAGCCCGAGCCAAGACTGGGCCAATGCCAAAGGCCGGTGCTGGTCCCCCATCAACCACGGTGGAGGACAGTCCTCTATGGCTCCAAACCCTCTGCTTGGCAGCTCTAAATGGAACAAGTGCATATTCCTTACAGAACATGGCCGACCTGCTTAATGAAGGAGAGAAAAGCCAGCTTCCTGAACTTTCCCAGGTCCTGGACACACAACACGTCTCAGTCACTTCACAGCATGACAGAGAAGGAGGACTGTGGCCGTTTGGATGACAACAGGGACCTTCAGCAAGTCCTTACAAGACAGAAGCAAAGATTATAGGACAAGGAGAAGAAAAGAAGCCTGGAGAGCGCAAAGGTAGTAATGATCCAGGCTGAGAGTGGTCAAGTGAGACAATGGTCATCCTTGGCCCACACCCTGCTCATCCCCGTGCAGCTCCCTAGCCCAGTGAGTGACCATTTGGAGGAGGGGGACATGGAGGTAGAGGGAAACAAGGAAGCAGGACAGTCCAATCACCCACTGTCTCCACTGGAAGTCCCTCTGAACAATTTCGATGATGATGGTGACTTAACTGCATGCTTGGAAAGTCCTGAAGAGGAGACTGGAGAAGTAGCCAGACAACGGTGTGAAGAAACCAGAAGGAGGGAAGAGCTGGAAGAACAAATTGAAACCCTGCAAGCCCAGGAGGCCTCTCTGCAGGAAGACAAGCAACTGGACAGGGAGCTCCAGGAGCTCAAGCTCAGGCTGCAAACACTAGCTGCTTTGGAGCAAGAACCTGTGATGGGACCTGAGAGGAATTTGGTGGAGGAGGAAGTCCACTGCTCGGAGATGGAGAAGAGACTTGCTACTGTGTCTGTAATGGCAAACTTCGCTTGGTAGACAAAACACATCTACAAGAAGATGGCTGAGGACCTGGCCCAGGAATTGGAGACAGCCACTTCCTTTTATCAGAGGGACATCCTCTTCCATGAGTGTAGGATGCAAGACAGCTGGGTGGCCGCCGTGTCCACTCAGTGTGACGTCAAGTTGCTCAGGAGAGAAATCAACTGCAACAGGCAGAAGCTGGCTGCTGGCAAGGCCACGCTCCAGCCTTTCCCGAGTGGCCCTTCTGCTGCTGGGGCTCCACCCACAGCCCACAGGGGCCCGGAGGTGCCAGGGGGGACCATGGGCTGTAAGCTACCCCAGGAGCAAGGAGGGTGACCCCCTGTGAGGACTCAGGGTCCAGGGCGACCTTCTGGTTTGACTGTGCTTCCCCTGCAGCCGGGTCCTGAAGACAACAGCTACGGCAGAACGTCAGCCGCTGCTTCTCCCTCTGAGGGAATTTTTGATTGAGCTCTTTTTAATTAAACTGTTGTTCTTTAATTCACATTGAAATTACATCATAATTGTAAGTAATATTTTTCAAATATAGATTGTTTAATAAAATTCCTATGCATACTGCAGTTCCACATGTCTACATCCTATAGAAGTACATAGTATAAGTATTGTGTTTTGAGTTAGATAAAGGGACCACTCATGTAAACATTATTGAAGATTGAAATCAATAGGGCCATTTAAAGCAAAGTCCATTTCAGGAGGAGGAAAAAAGGCGGAGTAAAGGTAACCCCCTGGATTCCTGCTCCCAGAGAAGGACACACAAATCTTGGTCTCTTATAGGTGAGTGGATTTCCCCCCTATAAGGACAGCATCGAGAATCCACAGAGGGTCATTGTGGGACTCTCAAAAAAGGAAAAAACAAGGTGATCGGGAGATAAGATCGTGTTCTCTGGAGAGCGCAAAACAAACAATAGGGCATAGAGCGTGGGAGGGCGCTGGCCCACCAGGCCAGGGGGTGAAATAGGATCAGACCCACAAGAGAACTCTTGCTTCCCCATTGACCTCCACACCCACCCAGCCAGGGACCTGTCTAAAGTTGGTGCGAAATCGCTGCAGGAGAAGAGGGTGCGGGAGAGTGCGCTCATTGGTGGAAAGCACCGTGAACTCCCCCCAGAGCCCCGCACTAGGACGGCTCCAAGAGGGGAAGAAACCAGACTAAGCTGATACGGGAGGCAGTTAGATATCTTGCCTCTGGTAATGAGCAGGGCCAGCCCTGGTCCCCTCTCTGCAGCTCCACACACTCTCTCCCCCTCCCCTCTGCTCTCCACCCAGCATCTGCCAATCACTCTACCATCCCCATGGGAGCCGCTGATTCCCATGACAGGTTTATAGTCCAGTTACACTAGCAACCAACTCTCTGGCCATGTGCACAATTTCTCCCTGTCTCTGTGTCAGGGGCCTCGAATCAGTCTCTCCCTCCCCTGCCTAGTGTCAGCCACAAATCCAGGCAGGCTCATTAAAGTGTCGCCTGTCGAGGAGCACCTTGTTAGGAGGATTCACTGGCCGCTGGGCCTCACTGCTGCCTCCACCTGCAGAGGTGGCTGACCCTGCAAAGGCACCTTTGGCCTGAGCTCCTTTAGTCTTTACCCTGAGGACACTGGGGTGGCCAGGGAGGCCTGGGCCCTGCTGGAGCTCTGAAAGCTGGAGAAAGGAGAGAAATAGGACCAGAGGAGAGTGCCCCTGCCCAGCAGGTGTCCTAGAGTCCTCTTCTCTTCTGCACCCTCCTCTGCTGGGCTTTAGCTCAATGCCAGCCCAGCTATCCAGAGATGTGCCCCCAGCCATGCCTCAAAGTTGAGAAAAAAGCTCCTTTGAATTTCAAAAGAATATTGATATGTATAGAACTAGTGCTCCCTTCTGCAGAATACACAGCACTTCCAAGAAAATTTCACTGAATCAGTGAGAAAGACTCCCTACCCTGGGACCTCGGATGTTCATAGAGGGTAGAAATGGAGTCCATGTCTGGGTGATTTCAAGTCCTTACAACCAATCGGTAAGATTAATTTCTTATGATATACCTAGCTTCTGTTTGCCTTGGTTTCCTCATTAAATAATAATAATAATAATATATATAATTTTAGCATATTATGGGGGTGCAAGTGTCAAGGTTACTTATATTGCCCATGCCCCCCTGCCCCCTCGAGTAAGAGCTTCAAGCATGTCCATCCCCCAAATGTTGCACATCTCTCTTGTTGTGGTTGTATACACCCATCCCCTCCTCCCCCCTCCCACCCTCCCAACACCCGATAAATGTTACTCATATATGTTGACTTAGGTGTTCATCTGTTAATACCAATTTGCTGGTGAGTACATGTGGTGCCGGTTTTTCCATTCTTAAGATACTTCACTTACTAGAATGGGTTCCAGCTGTATCCAGGAATATACAAGAGGTGCTATATCACCATTGTTTCTTAAAGCTGAGTAGCATTCCATGGTATACATACACCACATTTTATTAATCCACTCATGAATTGATGAGCACTTGGGTTGTTTCCATAGCTTTGAAATTGTGAATTGTGCTGCAATAAATATTTGAGTGCAGGTGTCTTTTTCATAAAGTGACTTTTGATCTTTTGGGTAGATGCCCAGTAGTGGAATTGCTGGATCAAATGGTAGATCTACTTGTATCGCTTTGAGGTATCTCCATATTGCTTTCAACAGAGGTTGAACTAGTTTGTAGTCCCACCAGCAGTGTAGGAGTGTTCCTCTCTCTCCGCATCCATGCCAGTATTTGTTGTCTGGGGACTTTTTGATAAAGGCCATTCTCACTGGAGTTAAGTGATATCTCATTATGGTTTTGATTTGCATTTCCCTGATAATTAGAGATGTTGGACATTTTTTCATATGTTTGTTGGCCATTATTCTGTCTTCTTTTGAAAAGTTTCTGTTCATGTCCTTTGCCCATTTTTTGATAGGGTTGTTTGATTTTTTTCTTGCTGATTTTCCTGAGTTCTAAATAGATTCTAGTTATCAGCCCTTTATCAGATGTGTAGCTTGCAAAAATTTTCTCCCATTCTGTGGGTTCTCTGTTTGCTCTTGTGACAGTTTCTTTGGCTGTGCAGAAGCTTTTTAATTTGATCAGGTCCCATTTGTTTATTTTTGTTGCTGCTGTGATTGCCTTTGGGGTCTTCTTCATAAATTCTTTGCCTAGGCCAATATCTAGAAGAGTATTTCCAACATTTTCCTCTAGAATTCTAATAGTTTCACACCTAAGGTTCAAGTCTGTTACCCAGCGTGAGTTGATTTTTGTGAGAGGTGAAAGGTGTGGGTCTTGTTTCAGTCTTCTACATGTGGCTATCCAGTTTTCCCAGCACCATTTATTGAATAAGGATTCTTTTCCCCAGTGTATGTTTTTGTCTGCTTTGTCAAAGATTAGTTGGCTATATGAGGATGGTTTTATATCTGGGTTCTCTGTTCTGTTCCACTGGTCAATGTCCCTGTTCTTGTGCCAGTCCCAAGCTGTTTTAATGATGATAGCCTTGTAGTATAGTTTGAAGTCTGGTAAATTGATACTTCCTATTTTGTTTTTATTGCCTAGGATTGATTTTGCTATACGGGGTCTTCTCTGGTGCCATACGAAGCATAAAATTATTTTTTCTATATCTGTGAAAAATGATGATGGTATTTTGATAGGGATTGCGTTGACTCTGTAGGTCACTTTGGGTAGTAGGGACATTTTAACAATGTTGATTCTGCCGACCCAAGAGCATGGTATATTCTTCCATCTGTTTACGTCCTCTGCTATTTCCTTCTTCAGTGTTTCATAGTTCTCCCTATAGAGGTCTTTTACCTCCTTAGTTAAATATATTCCAAGGTACTTTATTTTATTTGCTGCTATTCTGAGGGGAATTGAGTATTTGATTTGGTTCTCACTTTTACTGTAGTTGGCGTATATGAATGCCTCTGATTTCTGTGTATTGATTTTGTATCCTGAGACTTTACCAAATTCATTTATCAGATCAAGGAGTCTCTTGGTTGAATCCTTGGGGTTTTCTAGGTATAATATCATGTCATTAGCGAAGACTGAGAGTTTGATCTCTTCTGCTCCCATTTAGATGCTCTTAATTTCTCTCTCTTGGCTGATTGCTGTAGCAAGGACTTCCAGCACTATGTTGAACAGAAGTGGAGATAGTGGGCAACCTTGTCTTGTTCCAGTTCTAAATGGGAATGCTTTCAATTTTTCCCCATTCAGTATGATATTGGCTGTGGGTTTGTCCTATATGGCTTGTATCATTTTTAGGTAAGCCTCGTCTATGTCTATTTTGTTGAGCATTCTTATCATAAAAGGGTGTTGAATTTTGTCAAATGCTTTCTCTGTGTCTATTGAGAGGATCATATGGTCTTTGTTTTTGCTTCTGTTTATATGGTGAATTACATTTATAGATTTGTGTATGTTGAACCATCCCTGCATCCCTGGGATGAAGCCCACTTGGTCGTGATGAATTATTTTCTTGACAAGCACCTGGATTCGATTGGCTAGGATTTTGTTGAGAATTTTTGCATCTATATTCATAAGGGATATTGGTCTGTAGTGTTCTTTTTTGTTGCATCCTTTCCTGGTTTTGGTATCAGGGTTATGTTAGCTTCATAAAATGTGTTGGGGAGAATTCCATCCTTCTTGATGTTGTGGAATAATTTCTGCAGGATAGGCACCAGTTCTTCTTTGTAGGTGTGGTAAAATTCGGGTGTGAAACCATCTGGTCCAGGAATTTTCTCTTTAGGAAGGTTTTTTATTGCTGTTCCAATTTCAGTACTTGATATTGGTGTGTTCAGGAATTCTATTTCTTCCTGGTTGAGCCTAGGGAGGCTGTGTGTTTCTAAAAATTGTCCATTTCCTTCACATTTTGCAGTTGTGTGCACAGAGGTTTTTGTAGTATTCATAAATTATATCTTGTATCTCTGTGGCATCAGTTGTAATTTCTCCTTTATTGTTCCTGATGGAGCTTATTAGAGATTTTTCTTTTCTCATTTTCGTTAGTCTAGCCAATGGTGTCTCAATTTTGTTTATTTTTTCAAATAACCAACTTTTTGTTTTATTAATCTTCCATATAGTTTCCCTGTTGTCAGTTTCATTTAGTTATGATTTGATCTTAATGATTTCACTTCTTCTGCTGGGTTTGGAGTTGGTCTGTCCTTTTTTTTTTCCAGCTCTTTGAGGCAATTCATTAGGTTGTCTATGTGTGATCTTTTTGAATTTTGAATATAGGCATTTATGGAAATAAACTTTTCTCTCAGGACTGCTTTAGCTGTGTCCCACAGGTTTTGGTAACTTGTGTCACCTTTGTTGTTCAGTTCAAA